TGATAAAAACACTCAGAAATGTGGGAATAGAGGGATCATATCTAGACATAATAAAAGCCATATATGAAAGGCCTACAGCCAACATCATACTCAATGGGCAAAAACTAAAAGCATTTCCCTTAAGAACAGGAACAAGACGGATGCCCACTTTCGCCACTCTTATTTAACATAGTACTGGAAGTCTTATCCACAGCAATCGAACAGGAAGAAAAAATAAAAGTGATCCAAATTGGAAAGGAGGAAGTGAAACTGTCATTATTCCCAGATGACATGATACTGTATGTAGAAAACCCAAAAGACTCCATCAAAAATTTACTAGACTTAATAAATGAATTTGGAAAAGTAGCAGGATACAAAATTAACGTCAAGAAATCAATGGCATTCTTATACACCAATGATGAACTCACAGAAAGAGAAACTAAGAAAACAATTTCACGTATCATCATGGCAAAAAAATTAAGATACCTAGGAATAAACTTAACCAAAGAAATAAAGGACCTATTTTCAGAAAACTACAGGTCATTGAAGAAAGTAATAGAGAAAGATTTTTATTAAAAAAGTGGAAGCACATACCTTGTTCATGGATTGGAAGAATTAACATCATTAAAATGTCCATTCTACCCTAAGCAATCTATAGATTCAGTGCATTCCCCATCAAAATACCAACGGCATACTTTACAGAACTAGAACAAATATTTCAAAAAGTTTATATGGAACCAAAAAAGACCTTGAGTAGCCACAGCAATCTTGAAACGAGAACAAAGTTGGAGGGATCACATTACCAGATTTCAGGTTATATTACAAAGCCACCGTCATCAAAACAGCCTGGTACTGGCACAAGAACAGGCATATAGACCAGTGGAACAGAACAGAGAACCCAGAAATGGACCCAAGGCAATATGTATGTCAAATTAATATTTGACAAAGATGCCAAGAGCATACAGTGGAGTAAGTACAGCTTCTTTAATAAATGGTGTTGGGAAAATTGGATAGCTACATGCAAAAAAATGAAACTAGACCATCAACTTACACCATACACAAGAATAAACTCAAAATAGATAAAAGACTTAAATGTGACTCATGAATCCATAAAAAGCCTAGAAGAAAATGTAGGCAACAATATTTCAGACATCATACGCAGCAGAATTTTCACTGATACATCCCCTAAGGCAACAGAAACAAAGGAGAAAATGAACACATGGGACTACATCAAACTCAAAAGCTTCTGCACAGCGAAAGATACAATCATCAAAACGGAAAGGCTACCCACTGTATGGGAGAGCATAATTGCCAATGATATATCAGATAAGGGGTTAATTTCCAATATATACAGAGTGCTCATACAACTCAACAAGGAAGACAAAGAACCCAATTAAAAAATGGGCAGAGGCTGGCCAGTTTGGCTCAGCGGTTAGAGCGTCAGCCTGAGGTCTGGAGAGACCCAGGTTGGTTCCCGCTAAGGGCACGTACTTCGGTTGCAGTTTGTCCCCGGCCCTGGTTGGTCGTGCGGGTGGCAGCCACTCGATGTGTCCCTTCACGTCGATGTTTCTCTCTCTCTCCCTTCTTCTCTCTCCCTCCCACTCTATGTGTACAAAAAAATGGAAAAATGTCCTCGGGTGAGGATAAAAAAACAAAAAACAAACAAAAAAAATGGGCAGAGGGCCCTGGCCAGTTTGGCTCAGCGGTTAGAGGGTCGGCCTGCGGTCCGGAGAGACCTGGGTTCGGTTCCCACTAAGGGCATGTACTTCAGTTGCAGTTTGTCCCCGGCCCTGGTTGGTCGTGCGGGTGGCAGCCACTCGATGTGTCCCTTCACGTCGATGTTTCTCTCTCTCTCTCCCTTCCTCTCTCTCCCTCCCACTCTATCTGTACAAAAAATGGAAAAATGTCCTCGGGTGAGGATAAAAAAAAAAAAAAATGGGCAGAGGAACTAAATAGACACCTCTCCAAACAGGACATACAAATGGCTAAGAGACATATTAAGAAATGCTCAACATCACTAATCATCAGAGAGATGCAAATTAAAACAACAATGAGGTATCACCTCACACCTGTTAGAATGGCTGCCATCAACAAATCATCAAACAACAAGTGTTGGCAAGGGTGTGGAGAAAAGGGGACTCTAGTACACTGCTGGTGGGAATGCAGACTGGTGCAGCCACTATGGAAAACAATATGGTGTTACCTCAAAAAGTTAGAAATTGAACTTCCATTTGACCCATAGGGTATATTCACTTCTAGGAATATACCCTATGAAGCCTGAAACACCAATCAGTAAGAATATATGTACCCCCATGTATGTAGCAGCACTATTACAATAGCTAAGATCTGGAAACAACCCAAGTGTCCATCAGTAGACTAATGGATAAAAAAGTAGTGGTACATATACACAATGGAGTATTACGCAGCTGTAAGAAAGAAAGATCTCTTATCCTTTGAGACTACATGGAGGGACCTGGAAAGTATTATCCTAAATGAAACAAGCCAAACCGAGAAAGACAAGTATCATATGATCTCACTTATTTGTGGAATATAATGAACATAACAGTCTGAGGAATGGGATTGTCCCAGAGACATGGAAGTGGGGTACAGACTGACAATCCCCAGAAGAGGGGGTGGTGGGGGAGAGATAAACCACAGAACTTATATGCATGTGTGCATGAACAGTGGACATGGACAACAAAGCTGAGACAGGGCAGGGAGGGACGGGGAGCGGGGGAGTCAGTGGGGGAAAAAGGAGAAACATCTGTAACAAAAATAAATAAATTAATTAAAAAATAAAATGGTTGAATTAAAAAAATATGTTTTTATTGACTTTTTTTAGAGAAAGAGGAAAGGAGAGGAGATAGAAACATTGATGTAGGAGAGAAACATCAATTAGCTGCCTTCTGCACGTCCCTACTAGGGATCAAGCCCGAAACCCAGGCATGTGCCCTGATCAGGAATGGACCTGGGACCTCTCAGTCTATGAGATAATGCTCAATCCACTGAGTCACACCGGTGGTAAATTTTTAAATACCTTTTTTTTTTGTTTTGTTTGCATTTATCTTCAGATAGAGCGGGAGAGAGAAAGGGAGGAAGAGAGAGAGAGAAACATTGATGTGAGAGAGACACATTGAGTGGTTGCCACCCACACGACCCCAACCAGGGCTGGGGACAAACCGTAACTGAGGCACATGCCCTTAGTGGGAACCCAACCCAGGACTCTGTGGTCTGTCAGCCGATGCTCTAACCACTGGGAAAACTGGTCAGGGCTTAAATAGCTTTTAAAAAGCATGACATTATATGGAATCTTCCCACAACATTAAATGTTTCTGAAAATAAATATTGAATGAATTCAAAATATTCAGTTACATGAATTTACCATCTAAACATTTTTCCATGGCTAGAATTTTTGTTTCTTTTTTTATTCTTAAATATGGTTTACTATTCTTTATTTCTGTGCTTCACAACACCAAGATCGTAGAGACTATATAGAGAATGCAAAGACTATGGTTTTTACCTTCTATTGATGAATGTATAGGATTGAATTTTTTTAATTGTTAAAAATGCTGAGGTTAGTCCAGCTGATGTGGCTCAGTGGTTGAGCTTCAACCCATACACCAAGTTCGATTCCTGGTCGGGACACATGCCCAGGTTGTGGGCCCAATCCCCAGTGGGGGCCATGCAGGAGGCAGCCAATTGTGTTCTTTCTCATCTATGTTTCTACCTCTCTCTCCCTCTCCCTTTCTCTCTCTCTAAAATCAGTAAGAAAGCCCTGGCCGGCTTGGCTCAGCGGTTAGAGCGTCGGCCTGCGGTCCGGAGAGACCCGGGTTCGGTTCCCGCTAAGGGCACGTACTTCGGTTGCAGTTTGTCCCTGGCCCTGGTTGGTCGTGCGGTGGCAGCCACTCGATGTGTCCCTTCACGTCGATGTTTCTCTCTCTCTCTCTTCCTCTCTCTCCCTCCCACTCTATCTGTACAAAAAATGGAAAAATGTCCTCGGGTGAGGATAAAAAACAAAAAAAACAACAACAAAAAAAATAAAATCAGTAAGAAAAAGAAAATAAATAAAAAATGCTGAGGTTAAATTCTTTATTCATGACTTTTAAGTTAATCTCTTTATTCATGACTGTTTGTATATATCTCTGATTATTTCTTAAAGACGAATTCCTAGAAAGAGTTCACTTGATGGAAGAGATTTATTGTGCCCTAAATTGCAGGCTCTTTCCTGTGTGTCTGTCCCTGTCCTGCCCTGTTATCTCTCCTCCAGCCAGTCCCTCAGCTCCCAAGAGTTTGTGCTGAGCAGGCTCCAGGCTTTTGACTTCCTGCTGGTTTGGGTGTAACCCTTCCTGGCAGGGTGTTGCTTGTGCAAAACTTGTGATTCTGTCCCTCCTCTTATCTGTCCCAGGTATCTGTTTTGCAGCAACGAGTGAGAGGTAATCTACATCTCAGATTAAAACCCCACAGATAGTAGATTTTTTCTTATCGAAGTGGACCCTATTTGGTACTAACTGCTTTTTCTATATCATATATCTAAACTAGTGGTTCTCAGCCGAGGGTGATTCCTGCTCCCCTACCCCCACCCCCTGGGCAACATTTATCAATACCTGGAGACGTTTTTTTGGCTGTCACAACTTGGTGGTGGAGGGGGTTGCAGCTGGCATAAAGTGAGGGAGAAGTCGGGAATGCTGTAAACATCGTGCATCTTGTTTGCAATTCAAAATGTTCTTAGAGATTCTGAATATTACTAAAGATAAATGTTGGTATAGGGTTGATAATTAAGTCAAGGAATGATCTGGTGCAATTTTGTTTAAGTTGGAAATATAGATCCTGTCTCTCAGGGAATCCCTTTTTCTTCTTTCTTTCTCTATTTTTTCTTCATTATTTTCTCTGTCTTTCTCTCTCTCTCTCACACACATAGACACTCACCTCTTTCAAAGCTCATGGGCTGCCCGGGCTGGGCATCAGGCTGCTATGCGCAGGAAGAAGAGAGCAGTAGAGGGAGGAGATACACATGTCTGGAACTTGAGTCTTTATTGAGATTGATTGAGAGTTTTGTGACCTAGAGGAACCTTCTCGAGAATTAGAGGTATGGCACGACTTTTGCAGGGACCAGAGGCACCTCTGGAGTATGTAGCACAGAGAACCTGGCTCAGATTTCCTTTTGGGCTGGCCCAGGCTCCAGAGTTAATTCTCCTTCAGGACCTTATTGATCCAGGGCCGGTAATGGGAGATCCGGGTGAAGACAGCAGGGGGCTTTGCATTCATCTTTCCATAGGAGACAATGCCTTGGGCCACTCCAGCACACAGAAGAGGGCCCCCTGAGTCTCCCTGTGGGGCCAAGAGAGAGAGAGAGAAGGTGAGTCAGGGAAGTCATCCATTCCTGCCAATGGGTTCCAACCTAGGGTTCAGACCTAGGGTTAGGCCCAGGAGCCCTGGCTACTCATGGAGTTATACATCTTGATTTGATGTCCCTTCTTCTCTTCCTTCTTTTTATCCCATGTGTCCTGTTTAGCAGACTGAGAGGGATGGTTAGAGACTGCACAGGGTCATGGGAGAATGGATCCACAGAGGGACAGTTCTAGTTTCCTCAGCCCTTTGATCTCAAACCCTGTCATTGGCTGACAATCTTCTGACCCCATCTCATTCCATGAGATGTCTGGACCCTGAACAGTGATTTATGGAGAAGAGCCCTAGTCTAAGGATTACCTGAAATACAGATTTTTTCTTCTTGGGATTGCCCACACACAGCTGGCGATTGTGGTCAAACGTTTTGAAGTATCTGCAGGTCTGGGGATCCATGAGTCTCAGCTTCACCTCTTGCAGAGTGTCGGAGCCTGGTTCCCACACGCCTGTCATTCCCCAGCCAGCCGCCCGGCACATTCTCCCAGGTGGGGCGAAGTTGAACTGGGATGGAAGAGGGAGTGTCCCCACAGCCAGGGTCAGCTTGGCTTTCTCCTTCAACTGTGAAGGCAACGAGGGGCTGTCAGGGCTAGAGAAGGGTTAGGATGCAGTTGGAAGCAACCAGGGAGGGAGAGCCCACACTGCTTCACAACAGAGTCATGCTCAGAGGGTGGAGATGGGGGTGGTGTGCAGTCCAGAGGCAGTATGGGAAAATTCCAGGGCAATGGGGACCTGAAGGAGAAGCAGAAGAACAGGAAGTGAAGAAGGGGAAGAAAGATGTTACCTTTAGTAACATGATGTCGTGATGAACAAGACTGTAATTAAATTTTGGATGAGGGAATTGTTTTGTGACCTCAAGCTTCTGCCATGTGTCTTCTTTTTTTGTTATGTTGTGGGCTCCAAGGGTGACCATTATAGACCTGTTGTGAGGGAGAAGGAAGATCAAGGAGAAGAGTGACAGTTTGGGGTTTCTCCTGAGATGTACCCTTTCTGAGATAAGGGGACTGGAGTCTCTCAGAAGGTCACAGGACTCTACCCACTCCCCCTTTCCTGGGCCACTGTGGCATTTGGGGGGGGGGAGCCCAGGTTTTACTCAGGGAAGGCTTTTCCCAGGGAACAGAGACAATTTCCAGGACTCTCAGAAATTCCGGCAGACTGAGCAGGCCATGGAGGACCTAGGGGACAGGGTTATCACTTCTTAATTCAGGGACCCCTATATGAGGGCCAGCCCTCTGGAACAAGAGATCTCAGAGAAAAGGAAGAAGTAGTGGAGTCTCAGGTGGACTCTGTTTCCTGCCTCCCGTGGAAAGGATGGGTCCAGGTCCCTGAGAATTAAGAGCCAGTGTTCCTGGAGAGAGCATGGAGGAAGTGGCCCAGAGAACTGGGTGGGGCCCTGAGAAGTGAGTTGAGCATCTTATATGTTGGGGTTGGGGAGAGGGGGAGCTACTTTTAGAGGGGGGATGCTTGTATGGGGTCTCCTATTCCTTTGTAGCCAGGAGCTATGTGCACAGTGACTGAGGATCAGGGCATCCATTCAATTATGAGAATCATTTCCTTAGACCAACTCTCGCCTCTCCTTAAAGTGACCCAGACCCAGGAACCCCTCCTCAGCCCCCCTGTGGGTGTATCCCTGGTTGCAACTCTGGATGTTTATCTCCCATTTGGAGATAAACAGGGCCCTCTTCTCTCACCTTCCTGCACAGTGAGCAGCCGTCAGCACAAAGTTCCGTCTTATCAGAAAACCACCACAGTACATCACTGCACTCTCGTGACTGACAATTTCCAGGTGAGCCATGTAGGGGCGGGAGTGAGGCTTGCACTCTGTGCCTTTGATGATCTCCCCTAGAACAGAGACCCACAGGCCCGAACACGAGCATTGGTACTCTCTCCAGAGAATGCATAAGCTAGGTCAAAGCTGAGAGTGGCTTCTCTTGAATCTCATCCTCACCCTGTATTCTGCCCATCTTCCCTCTCAGGTGTCTCTGGTATCCATCCACTTTCCCCAGTCACAGCCTCCTACATCTTCCTCCAGGCACAATAGGCAACCCACCTCAGAGGCTGTTCAGGCATTTTCACTTCAGATCTCCCCCACTCCCCTTCTACCCCTGACTCAACCCTCCTCTGTCACCTTGCATGACAAGCTCTCCAGGTTCCTGTCTTGACCTTCTCCACAGCCCATGAGCTGTGTCTCAAAAGGGCCACATTATAAGGTAATGTGTAGCCCCAAAGCTTAGAAGGTGAAGAGAACATAGGACTTCACACCCATGATCACACATGTTAGGGAAGATTCCCCTTTTCCTCCCACTACTCTGGACTTTTCCCCAATCAACATGGGGTCCCTTGTTCCTAGGAACTACCATAGGCTGCAGAAAATGGGTGGGCACATCGCAAGTGGAAATGTCACTCTGGACTCTTGAAGAGAGATCCTGCCCCTCTCCTGTTTAAGAGTCAGATATATTCAGACAAAAATTTGTTTTAGGAACTAATCCTGAAACTTCCAGAGGGAAGCACCCTGTGACTCACCAGCTTCAGATGTGGAGCATAGGAGGAAGAACAGCAGGGGAAGAGGAAGATGATCCATCTTCTCAGAGAGGCAGCTCACAGCAGGTGCTGCTTCTGCCTTCTAGTCTTGGGCTTTATAACCCCAGCAAGAGAGGAAAAGGCAGGGCTGGTAACCATAGGAACTGAGTGGTCATGTTTTTTTTCTCTCATTCTAAGCTGGCTCTCTTTTTGATCAGTTTTCCCCAGAGTTCCTCTTTGTTTTGCTAGATGTAAAGTTGAGGCCAGAACTCTGAAGTCCTGGATTCCAGGATGAACTCTCCACCAGAGTGCCTTATCTGGAATGGGGCGGCGGGGGATCAAGTCTTTCCCAGTGAGGGCAGTTTGTTAGAGGCCCATCAGAAACATAGGTAGGGGCGATTTGTTACACTGAGCATCAGAAACATATGCACTTTTATGCCTATAGCTCATAGTAGGAAATTTATTTTGCAAAGAGACTCAATGCCGTACATGTTATGTGTGTGTGTACATTAGCACAAACATACACACATACAAATGAGTCACAAATTTCAGAAACCAATATCTTTATGGTGTACAGTTCCATTCCATGTTAAAATGTGAGCAGCATCCACTTTAAGAATTATTACCTGACCTGGCTGGTGTGACTCAGTTGTTGAGCGTCGACCCATGCACCAAGAGTTCGCCAGTTTGATTCCTGGTCAGGGCACACGCCCAGGATGTGGGCCTGATCCCCAGTGGGGGGCATGTGGGAGGCAGCCAATCGATGTTCTCTTTCATCAATGTTTCTCTCTCTCTCTCTCTCTCTCTCTCTCTCTCTCTCTCTCTCTCTCTCTCTCTCTCCCTTTATAAAAATCAATAAAGAAAAAAAAAAGAATTATTGCCTGTAATTTGAAAAATGTTGATCTGGACCTCTTGCTTCCTCTGAATCAAATGTTCATTGGCAGAAGAAGAGATCCAAGGAGAGCAAAGGGGGAAGGGAACATACCCTATTTTAAGGCTTTATACACATTATCACAAGAGCAAATGGGATTGGAATTAGCATTTTTTAAAGAGCCTATGCATATCATTTATTGTCATAACTCTTTGATATAGTTCATCATCACAATCCTGTGAAGTAGGTATTATTTTTTCAATTTTATGTATCTGCTATCCAGGCTGATGGTTCAGAATTAGACTTTCTTGATTTCAAGATAAGGACCTTTTATGCTCTACCACCAAAGGGAAATAGAGAAGTTGCCAACGGGGATGTAGATGTAGAAAAACGTTTGCTTCTGGCAGCGGGCTGATTTTACTGACAAAGAATATGTACACACAGATATCAGTATCTGAGGTTTTCTTTGCCATAACAACCTTGGGAAATACCATTCACTTTACAGATGTAGAATTTTGTTTTGGGAAATGTTAAGTATGGAAAAGGAGCGCATGCTTATGTTGGGCAGCCAAATGATAGATTGCAGTGGACATTTGCCATGTATGTGGTGGATCCTTAGAGTCTTTTGAACACCCTTGCTGTACTAGGAGAATTCTCACTTATGGTTGTTGTCTTCCTAAGGTAGAATCCACAAATTTCCTTTCCCTGATTTTATTGTGTCAAGGGCCATGTGAACGAGACTTTGCCAATCAGATGAATGAGTGTAACATTTGATTTGGAAGGGGTAACATGAGGTAGCAGGCATTATGTGGAATTAATTTTCCTGGTGAAGGTGAGTCGCAGAGGGATCTGGTTTTGAGGAAGATGTTAGTCGTGGTTCAGGTGTCTGGTGTTGCCTCAGTGTCTGGTCCAAGCCAATGGGCTGTAAGACCTTTGCTGAACAGTCTTGTGATGTAGTTCAGACATTGTTTGTGGCCAGGTTGCCTCTAGATTGGGTTCTATAGCATCTTGGCAAACAGATGTTGAGTCTGTATAAAGAATTATTTACTAAGAATCAGTTGTTACAACATGAATGTGTGATCAGGGGAGTTAAGTGATTTCCTATTTGCTGAGATACTTCAAGTAGATGTTGCATAGAGTCTTGTTGAGGATTCACAGTTAGTGGAAAGGAAAGGATTGGACTTGATGTAAAAGAACCAACATTTTAATGATGATGATGTTTCCTTAGCTACCGTAATGCAGAGGGATCATCCCTTTTCTGAGTTCCTGAGCCATTTATTATCTGTGTCATTATTCACTTTGATATTTGAGGCATGCAGCCACCTTTGCCATTAGATGGGGCAAGCTTATATCCTGCTTCTGCCACTTGACTATCTGTGTGACTTAGGACAGTTCCTTAAGTTCTCAGCATCTGTAAAATATGAAGAGTGATATGAAATAGGGTTTCTGGAGAATTGAGTATGGTGCTAAATGTGAAATGCCATATGGTTGGTCCTTAATAAACGTTGGTTTTATTCCTTTAATTGTGTTGTAGCTTGTGCTACCATATGACCATTTAACACTGAGGTTATATATTTGTTTGTGCTGAGAGATTATACATTCTCTAAACTTCCCTAAGCACATTACTGATCAGTCAGATTTATAGACTTCAGTTATGCCCTGCTTTGAACAGCATCTTGTTTCTATTCGTTTAACTTTAGGTTGCGAGGTTGTTTCTTTAGTTTATCTTTTATTAATGGTTGTGTGTGTGTGTTTTAATCTTCCCCTAAGGATGTGGTTACCAATTTTAGAGAAAAGAAAGGAGGGGTGGGAGAGAGAAAGGGAAATATCAATTGGTTGCCTCTCGTCCATGCACCAACAGGGGATCGAACCTGAAACCTAGGTATGTGCCCTGACCCAGAATCAAACCTACAGCCTTTCAGTGTATGGGATGATGCTCCAACCCAGCCAGGACAGCCTGTGTCTTTTTTGATGGAGCATGTGTATAACAATTGTTTTAACCTTTAAGTTGCCATGTAGAGATGCAATACCTACAAGCTTTTGTAAATGTTAAAGTCTCATGTAAGAGATACACTGATAAGGGACAATTGATGGCATAGGCTCAAACCTCCTTGCTTCAGATTGAGACAGCAGTGCAATGGAGCAGGAATAGGTCATCTCTATGGGCTCAGCCGTGTTTTCCTGAAGCAGGCTGGAGCTCACTCTGTGCTTGCCTTTGCGATGACCTCTACTTGTTTCTGTAGTTGATGTTCCTGAATGAGTTTTTCTAAATTTAAAGCCTAAATTTAACTGCTACTACCTTACATTCAGCATCTGTAAAGTAATTTTCAAGGATATAAGCTGATTTATTTTACTCTGCTCTTGCCTCAACTCTGAACACACTGGTTTCTTGAACTACTGCGCTCTGCACAGTTCCCTCAGTGGACAGAGGATCCCGAGGAGAGGTCCTAGGTGATTACCCCAAGTTTTGGCTTGGGAACAAGATGCCTCATGGTTGTGTGTCATCATTTCTATCCTAGGCTTTTAAGCAACACCCTTCACCCCCCAATCTTGCTTTTTTGGTTTCTTTCTGATATTTCTAATTTCATTTTTAAAAACATTTACCTGAAATCAAATAACACTTGAAAAATAGTTTTTTATTTTTTAATTACAGTTGACATACAATATTTATTAGTTTCAGGTATGCAACATAGTGATTAGACATTTATATATCCTATGAAGTGAATACCCTGATAAATCTAGTACCCGTGTGACCCATACATTGTTATTACAATGTTATTGACTATATTCCCTATGCTGTACTTTACATTCCCATGACTATTTTGTAACTACCAATTTGTACTTTTTAATCCCTTCCCCTTTTTCACCCACTCCCCCAACCCTCTCCCCATCTGGCAACCATCAAAATATTCTCTGTATCTATGAATTTGTTTCTGTTTTGTTTGTTTATTTGGCTTTTTGGACTCCACATATAAGTGAAATCATATTGCATTCATTTTTCTCTGTCTGACTTATTTTACTCAGCACAATACCCTGTAGGTCCATCCATAGTGGTGCAGCTGGCAAGATTTTATCTTTTTTTCATGGCTGAGTCTTATTCCATTGTAGGTTACTTCCATATCTTAGCTGTTGTAAATAATGCTGCAATGAACATGTGGATGTATATGTCTTTTTCAATTTTGGGTTTCTTTAGTTAAATACCCAGAAGTAGCCTTGACTGGTTTGGCTCAGCGGTTAGAGCATCGGCCTATGGTCCAGAGAGACCTGCGTTCGGTTCCTGCTAAGGGCACGTACCTCAATTGCAGTTTGTCCCCGGCCCTGGTTGTGTCATGCGGGTGGCAGCCGCTTGATGTGTCCCTTTCACAATGATGTTTCTCTCTCTCTCCCTCCCACTCCATCTGAACAAAGAATGGAAAAAAATGCCCTCGGGTGAGGATTAAAATAAATAAATAAAGAAAGAAATATCCAGAAGTGGAATTGCTGGGTCCTTCTTTGTCTCTTTTTAAAGCCGTTATTTTAAAGTGTATTTTACCATTTTGTCAGACATAAGTATTGCTACCTGAGGTTTTTTTTTTTTTTTTTTTTTTTCATTATGAAATATCTTTTTTTGTCCCTTTATTTTCAGTCTCTGTGTGTCTTTCCATTTGAAGTGAGTCTCTTGTAGACAGTATATGTAACAGTCTTGTTTTCTTATCCATTCAGCCACCCTATGTCTTTTGTTTGGAGCACTGAATCTGTTTACATTTAAAGTAATTGTTGATAGATACATAGTTATTACCATTTTATTATTCATGTTTTTTTCTATGAACATGTATTTTTTTAAAATTTATTTATTTTTTATTAATTAATTTTTGTTACAGATGTTTCTCCTTTTCCCCCACTGATTCCCCCCTCCCCTCTCCCTCCCTGCCCTGTCCCTAGTTTGTTGTCCATGTCCACTGTTCATGCATACATGCATATAAGTTCTGTGGTTTATCTCTTCCCCACCATCCCCTCTTCTTGGGATTGTCAGTCTGTACCCCACTTCCACATCTCTGGGACTACCCCATTCTTCGGACTGTTATGTTCATTATATTCCACAAATAAGTGAGAACATATGATACTTGTCTTTTTCTGTTTGGCTTGTTTCACTTAGGATGATACTTTCCAGGTCCCTCCATGTAGTCTCAAAGGATAAGAGATCTTTCTTTCTTACAGCTGTGTAATACTCCATTG